TTTTTTTTTTTTTTTTTTTGCGGTACACGGGCCTCTCACCGCTGCGGCCTCTCCCGCTGTGGAGCACAGGCTCCGGACGCACAGGCTCAGCGGCCCACGCGGCTCGCGGGCCCAGCCGCTCCGCGGCACGCGGGACCTTCCCGGACCGGGGCACGAACCCGCATCCCCTGCATCGGCAGGCGGACTCTCTAGCACTGCGCCACCAGGGAAGCCCCTGAACTTTTAGCCTTTTATGGACTCAGATCATTTCACCTGTCCAAGTTCTGTCAAATTGACAGCTTGACTGACCAGTGGGAGCCACTTGTAAGCTGGCCTCTTTGTCCTTTAAGCCTTGACCTTCTGCCCTTGAGATTCTAAAAAGTATTGCTGCTTTCTGGCACTAGCAGAATGTTCCAGACCCATTCTGGTTTTCTTGTCCCAAGGCATAGAATCACCTACCCTGTAAGGAGCCCTGGGTCCCCCTAGATGAGAAGAGTACTAACGCACTCATTCATTTGGCACGTGTATACCGAGCATCTTCTCAGAGCTAGAACCCCAGGATAGAGTCCCACATAAAATGTGGAGCTGATAGAATAAAAGGAGAACATTCACAAAACAAGCACACTGATAAATAATTACACGTTGTGATGAGTACCAGGAAGTTATAAAGCCAGGGTGCTCCGAGAGACATTGACAGGCAGGCATGGAGACCTCTTTGAGGACAGACTCACAGCCACAATCCGAACGGATCAGTCGGGATCTCCCTGACTCAGGTCAGGGTGAGGACCCCACCGCGGAGGGAACGGTCTGTGCCGAAGCCGCCCGAGCGGGTTCAGCATTGGGTGGGTCTGAGGTCAGAGTGCTGGAGTGTGGAGGTCAAGGGGGAGAGGGCAGGAGACGAGGTTGCTGACGCAGGCAAGAGCCAGTCACGCAGGGCCGGGAGTCCAGGGAGGTGGGTCACTGCTTTTTCCTAAGGGCAGGGGCGCCATCAGAGGCTGTGAGCTGGGGCGACGCGACTCACCTTAGCTGGCTCCCTGAAGCGAGCTCCTGTCGGGGTGAAGGTCTGGGCGGGGGAGGTGGGAGAGACCACCCCGACCACCGTGGGGCTACTGCACGCTCTGGCGGAGATTTGGGGGTGGCTTAGATGGGGGTGAAGCAGGGCACTGAGAGGACTCAGGGCTGCCTGTGTGTGTGGTGGGACAAGACGTGGGAGGATGAGGGAAAAGAAATGGAGTGTGACTTGGGCACCTGGGTGCGTGGAGGTGTTGTTCTCTGGGACCAGGAAGAGAATGTGTGGGGCGGGGGACTGCTTGAGGGTTCCCCTGCTAAATATTGGCCAGATATTTTAACAAATGAGTGAATCAAATGTGGGTGTATGAGTGCCTGTCTGCCCCAAACCCTTGCCGACACTGGGTGGAAAAGTGCCTGGATTTCAGGACGTATTTGTCGAATGAATGAAAGCATGAGCCCATCTGTAGGTTTTACTTCTTGATTCAGTTCAGCAAATAATACAGTAAATTCCAAGCGATTTGAGCTTCAGGAAGGAAGGAGGTGGGTTGACTTGTCAAAAGGGGTCTGGGACCACTTACGACCTGCATGGGCGAGGTGCCCCCCGCAAGCAGTTCTCCATGACACTGGCCTGGTGTCCCACAGTTTAACTCGGTTCTGGCACTGCCTGGAGATGGCGTCAGATCCCACAGGATGGCTCCCGCTTCAGATGCCAGTCGCCAAGTATTGGGTCCCCAGGTGACGGACAACTTCTGTCCGACTTGGCTACAAATCAGAGGTTCCCAGGACCCCGCCCCCGCCTTGGACTCGAGCATTTGCTAGAACAGCTCACGGAAGTCAGGGAGACACTTATGTTCACCAGTTTATTAAAGGATGTGGTAAAGGACACAGATGAGCAGCCAGATGGAGAGAGAGAGGCACGGGGCGAGGCCGGGGAGGGTCCCGATTGCAGGAGCTTCTGTCCCCATGGAGATGGGGTGCATCGCCTTCTGGTGTGGATGTTTGCCAACCTGGAAGCACTCAGAACCCTGCACTATTGAGATTTTATGGAGGCTTCATCTCATAGGCATGATGGCCCACTAACTCCATTTCTAGCCCCTCTCACTTCTCATGAGAATAGGAGTTGGGGCTGCAAGTTCCAAGCTTCTAGTCATGACTTGGTCTTTCTGGTGACCAGCCAGCCCCCTCCAGGAGCCCACCCAGAGTTGCCTCGTCAGAACAAAAGATACATGTATAACCTGGGAAATTACAAGGGTTTCAGGAGCTCTGTGTCAGGAACAGGGGCCAAAGACCAAATATTAGAACAGATGGTCCTAGTGCTCTTATCACTCAGGAGATCACAGGGAGCTTTGTGCCGGCAACCGGGAACCAGAGACCAAATATATATTTATTATAAATCACAATATCACACTTGCGTTCTGTTTTCTGGTTTTCACCCACCTCTTTTCTGGGAAGGAACAGGGGTCTGGGAGACGGATGTCTTTTCGTCCTTTGGAGGCTCGCTAGGTTTGAAGTGTTGGGTCTGAATCAGCTGTCGGTCCCTGACTTTCTGTGTCCCCTCAGATGCCTGTGACGTTGCCTTCGACCCCGACACGGCACACAGGTACCTCCGGCTGCAGGAGGACAACCGCAAGGTCACCAACACCACGCCCTGGGCGCACCCGTACCCGGGCCTCCCCAGCAGGTTCACACACTGGCGGCAGGTGCTGGCCCAGCAGAGCCTGTACCTGCATAGGTACTACTTTGAGGTGGAGCTCTCCGGGGCGGGCATCTACGTGGGCCTGACGTGCCAGGGCATCGACCGCCAGGGCGAGGAACGCAATGGTTGCATTTCCGGAAACAACTTCTCCTGGAGCCTCCAGTGGGATGGCAAGGGGTTCAGGGCCTGGCACAGTGACACGGAGACCCCACTCAGGGCCCGCCCTTGTCGGAGGCTGGGAGTCTATGTGGACTTTCCCGGAGGCGTCCTCTCCTTCTACGGCATTGAGCCGGAGGCCATGACGCTGGTGCACCGTTTCAACTGTAAGTTCTCGGAGCCCGTCTACCCAGCCTTTTGGCTGTCCAAGAAGGACAACGCCATCCGGATTGCGGATCTGGGAGAGGAACCCGAGAAGCCGGCACCGACCCCGGTGGAGCCTGCTCCCTAGATGCCGGGGTCCAGAGCCCAGACCTGTGCTAACACACAGACGGGGCGGCAGCTTGCGTTTTAAGGCTGACTGGGGGGCAGAATCCCTGCCAGCGGTTGCTGGCTTTAGAAATCACGTGGGTCACAGGATGAGGGGAAGGGTCTCTGGCCGCCGCCTTGGGCTCCATGTAGCGCTGTTCCCCACGTTTGCAATAATCCTCAGGCCCTAAGTCCCCCTCGCCATCTTCTCGTGATGTCCTGTCTGCTCGGGTGAACAGCGCACTGTGCCCAGAGGTGGTCACCAGGAATCCTCAGAACCGTCAGAAAGACTGCGGAGGAATCAGAATAAATGGCTAACTTTATCTCGCTTCCCCCGCGTCCCCGGTACTGTCCTGAGCTCCTCCCGTGCGTCAGCCCTCGTGGCTGTCATGGCAGCCCCGCAGGGTAGCTGCTCACACCGTCCCCATTTTGCAGGTGGGGAAGCTGTGGTCCGGTGGGGGTCAGTGAACTTGGCTCGGGGGTCACCGTGGTCACGTGGTGAGTGAGTGGCCGAGCTGGGATTCAGACCTGGGAGGGCTGACGTTGAACTTCTAACCCCGACCCCACGCTGCCTTGCTCCTTAGACGGTGGGTGTTGTGTGCACGGGAATAAACCACATCATGAACTGCGTTTGTAGGAGTACAGCCTCTTACGGCCTCCGTCGCTTTGCACCCACACGTCTGACTGGGCCTTGCAGCTGTGCCGTGATGGAGAGCTCACTACTCCACCTGGAAGCTCACCTGGTTTGGGGACAGTGAGGATTGCAGGAATGTCTTAGTGGGGTCCGAGTCCTATAGTCCCTGTGACCTCAGGCGACGGGGCTCCTTCCTCTCTCCTGGAGCCACCCAGACGGTGTGGACGCGCCTGATTCCTCATTCAAGGGCAGTTCTCCACGTGTTTGGGGGCACACACACCGTCCCCCCTGGGAGTTATTCTTGGCTTCTCACTCTATTTCCCACTTTCCTTTGTGGTTTCCGGACCTTCTACTCCTCTGATCACATCCGCCTCCTTTCTACAGACGCGCTCCCTAAGATTAATTATATAGATTAATTATATAGATTCATCAAACCCTCAGGCAAATGACAAACTGTATTTAAATGGGTTTCTGAGGACATAACCTGAGGCCCCTTTCGGGATTCCCTGGAAATACAACTTCTGGGTCTTTTCCGTGACCTGTGTCAAGTCAAGTCCCTTCCTCTTTGGCCAGTCTGACGGTCCTGTGTCAAGAGTACTTTACTTCAGCGTCACTCGACTCGTTTCCAGAGACCCTGCCCTACGTTTGAATTCTAGGATTTATATAGTATAGGATTTGAATTTTTAAATTGAATTTAAAAGCTTTGAATTTTATTGACCTTTAAAATATTAAAAAAATTTTTTATCGGAGTATAGTTGATTTACAATGTTTTATTGGTTTCCGCTGTACGGCAAAGTGAATCAGTTATACATACACATATATCCACTCTTTTTTAGATTCTTTTCCCATATAGGCCATTACAGAGTATTGAGTAGAGTTCCCTGGGCTATACTGTGCATCCTGAGAAATTTTTCAATTTGAATTTAAAATTTCATCACATTATTGCTGCTCGCGGAGATAGTTTTATTCATGACTCTATGCCCAGTGTAATAGCTCTCCTTCCTAGCCCGGTGTCACCTACAGAATTGGTAACCTTTTCTTCTTAAATCTTACTCTTGTTGATATACATATTGATTAGGTTGATACCTATATTGATTAGAATCTTGCAGTCCTCAGCCAATATCTTTTGGGTTTAGTTATTCAATAAGTTATGCATCAGTAGAATTGTTTGCTAATGTAGCCCACCTTATGCCCCTTTATTCACTGCACACCATGAAGGACTTTTCAGTGGCAGAGATCAGGATATGCTATGTCAGCATTTCCTCTCTAATGATGCTCTCTAGGGGAAAAGTGAGATCAGCTTGGCTGGGTTGTTGATGCTTCTTAACTTTCTTCCCCAAATGCTCACATAATATTTGACAAACCATTTTAGAATTCTGGTGTAAGTTCACACCTCATCTGCTGTTTCCAGAATCTACCTTTTTTTCTTTTAAAAAATCAAGACGACGTTGCCTGTCTTCATCCTCCACCATTCTCCCTAATTTCTCAAAATTTACTGCCTGGATTTCAGTCACGTTGGTAAATTGTGTCAGTGTCGTGAGATGTAATTTGTTTAGGCCACACTCAGATTCATAAAAGGAACCCTTTGGGTGTCTCCTTACCTGTTTTGAACTTCAGTTCCTCTTTCTGTCCACTCATTTTTGGTTTTAAGACCTTTCTTCTCGAGATAGAAGATCAAAGCAAAATTGAGCATTAGCATTGCCTTAAGCGATGGGCATATCTTTTTCCTTCCCCTGGGTCCAAAAACTGAAAATCGCCTAAAACAAACAAAATAAAAAAGATAACAAAGGCCAATTTTATGCCCTCTGTCATTTTCCCCAAGCTGTGTCAGTGTGTGCCACTCTTCTGTATGTCCCACAGAAGCCTCCACGGTCTTTGGCAACTCCCTAAGCACAGACAGGAACATGTAATAGCAGGTGCAGCTGATCCGACATTCCAGAGGTTCTGGATCCTCTTTCCTCTTCACACCCACTGCTGGCTACCGCGTTCCTTCACTGAAGTTTTGCTGAGGCCCTCGGGTTTCCTCTAAAAAGCTTAGGTTTGGGGACTTCCCTGGCGGTCCAGTGGTTCAGACTCCACGCTCCCACTGCAGGGTCCGGGGGCTCTGGTTTGATCCCTGGTCAGGGAGCTAGGATCTCCCCTGCCTTGCGACGCCGGAAAAAAATAAAAATTAAAAAAAATTAAAAAGCTTAGGTTTTTAAAGTTAATGATGAGTAAGGAGGGCTTTGGCATTTTGAGGACCGTTCCCCATTTCTTACCTCATTTAATCTTTGCAGCCCTGTGAGATAGGTAGTATTTTCCCTGTTTTATGGAATGAAAATGAAAAGGTTGGCGGCTCAGAGAGGCAAAACTTGGTCAAGGATGCTCAGTAGGACGTTTTGAAAAAAGCTTTTGTGTTTATTTCTAAAACGAGGTTACGTTCACAGGTTCTGAGACATGAACATCAGTGGTTCTCAGAGTGTGGCTTCCTGACCAGCAGCATTGGCACCACCTGGGAATCTATTAGAAAAGCAAATTCTCGGGGGTCAGCCAGACCCGCTGAATCAGAAGCTCTGGGGCAGTGTCTTAACAAGGCCTCTGGGGGTTCTGATGCAGGCTTGGGTTTGAGAACCTCTGTCTGCCCCATCTACTCTCTTGAATCTGTTCCGCCCTTCATACCGATAGCAAGTGGCCACGAGTTTCCGAACAAGCAGGAAGTCACCCGATCTCCTTGAGGACCCGGCCATGTCAGACAGGTCAGAACTTTTCTGTGCTCTCGTGTTTCTCCCCCTCCCGGAGAGGGAGACATTTCTAGCCAATGCCCTCGTTCCCCACCTGCTTCTCTCTCTCTCTCTTTTTTTTTTTTTTTGCTTTTTGCGGTACGCGGGCCTCTCACTGCTGTGGCCTCTCCCTTTGCGGAGCACAGGCTCCGGACGCGCAGGCTCAGCGGCCGTGGCTCACGGGCCCAGCTGCTCCACGGCACGTGGGATCCTCCCGGACCGGGACACGAGCCCGTGTCCCCTGCATCGGCAGACGGACTCTCAACCACTGCGCCACCAGGGAAGCCCCCCACCTGCTTCTCTTTAAACCAAAGGGCAAATGGCAACTGGAAACTCCATGATTTCTCAGGAACGAAGACTTGTCTCAGTTAACTTTGCCAACAAGTGTGACACCACCTGATGGGCAGGCGGTGGCTCAAACACGATGGTTTTCCCACCTTTCCTCTTGAGAACGATCCTAGTACAGCTTTTCCCATGTGATCAAGTGCCTTTGCAAACACATCACCCGCCTGTGAGCGAGGTGGGCTCACGATCTCCATCTACAGAGGCGGGCAGCCGAGGGCGGCAAGTGAGTCGCGGGGTGGAGGTATGTTTGCTGCTCCGTAGCTGAGGCTCTCCTGCTCTGCAGCCTGAGCCCTTCCCTGATTTCCCGCCATCTGACCCAGGTCAGGTGCTGGGTGGGAACCAGTAGAACCTCAGGTGCACGTCGTTGGGCAGGACGGCGGAGCCGATGCGGGTACAGCAGCCATGCCTTCTGGGGCTCGCCACACCATGCAGGGGGCGGGCAGAGGAGGTGAAGATTTGGGGTGGTGTAGGCTTTAATCAGAATCATGAACAAAACAGAATGCAAAGGGCAGAAGGAAGCTTGGGGACTACATGGAGCCTGCAGGCTGCTCGTAGCCTGGATATTTGAGAAATCTCCAGACGTACGTCTCAGCCCCAAAGCTTTCCTCTGAGAAGTGTTTTCCCCCACTGGGTCTTACTCCGACGAGACCTGTTTGCCCGCCTACCTCTTTGGGTACCACTGGCACCACTTCCCGACCATTGGCTTTTACCCATCAGGCCGTCGCATCCCGCCATCCGCCAAGGTCACATTCTAAACTCTAACACCCGATCTCAAATGGCTCCAGTTTCCCTGCCTGAGCCGGCTGACATGCTGTGTGTGCACCGTGTGTGCGTGCTCACACCTGTGTATGTGGGATGCGGCGGCAGAAGTAACCACCAGGCTTAGTTACACTAATGAATGTAAGCCTAGCCCTACGACATCCTGATCACACGTCTTCTACAGAGGAGGAGAGATGGGGGCCCAGAGGGGCCGAGGGGCTTGCCCAAGGCCACAGGCCTAGTAAGAAAGCAGCAGGATTCCAGCCAATCTCTGACTCCAAGGCTGAGTTGGATTGTAAAACTGCTCCCTTAGAAGTATGTCAGCTTCACAGCTTAAAGTCCTCATTTATTTGGACCTTTAGGAACAAGCTATTGTATTTTCAGCTTGTAGCATTTCTGGGGGTAATGTGCCCCCTTATATACTCAGGTGCTTTGGGTCTCCCTCCTCTGTCTGGCCTTCCTGGTGGGTGAGATGCTAATCCACTCTGGCCTTTTCTCCAGGCATCTGTCCGATAGAGGAGCTTGAGCTGTTAGCACTGACCTCCTTCCCGGCTTGGTTCCTGTCCCCACCCCAACTCTTTTTTTTTTTTCTGCGATATGTGGGCCCCCCACTGCCGCGGCCTCTCCCGTTGCAAAGCACAGGCTCAGCGGCCATGGCTCACAGGCCCAGCCACTCCGCGGCATGTGGGATCCTCCCAGACCGGGGCACGAATCGGCAGGCAGACTCCCAACCACTGCACCACCAGGGAAGCCCTAAAACAATCTTTTATATATAAAGACTGCTATATCAAAAGCTCAGTGAACCACAACCAAGGCCCCAGCCGGTCCGCGTCATGTGGGATCCTCCCAGACAGGGGCATGAACCCGTGTCCCCTGCATCGGCAGGCGGACGCGCAACCACTGCGCCACCAGGGAAGCCCCCACACCCCAACTCTTTACAAGACCTTCACGGCCAACCACCCCAGCGATGACTCACGCTGCCTTTCTCCATCGGTGCCCGATCGCCAGATGCAGACGCTTAGACATGCTCACGGTATTGCCAACCTTTTGGTTTAATCCGGGGTAGTAATAACACCACCAAGAGCAGAGGCAACTGGCCTCACACATTTGATCTGATGGTAGAAGGTAGACTAGTTTTCATCATCTGCCTTCATGTCCTTCCTCCTCATCATCAGTAAGATGCAGAAACTGAGGCTCAGAGAAGCCAGGCAGGGAGCTCATGATCATCTAGCTCCGTGGTACCAGAATCAGTGTGTGAAGCTGGTCCCACCTGAAGTATAGTGGTCTCAGTGTGTCCTCAAAACTCTTTTCTGGGTTGTCCTACGTTTGCAAGGGCATTTTGGCTGCGGTGGTGAGCTGAGGGGCTGTGGTTAGGTAGTAGTCTATTACAGTCATTTTCCCTAATTTAGCAGCATAGCTTTATTAGTTACTTTGAAAATTTCAAACCTGTGAAAAGCTGAAAGAATAGAATGATGAACACTCACATGCTCTTCACACACATTCGCCAATTATTAGCAGTTTGTTGCATTTGTGCTCTCTTTCTCTCTGTGTATACACATATACACACTGAATATGTGTGTAGTGTGTGTGTGCGCGTGTGCACGTATTTTTCTCAGACCTTTTGAAAATTATTTGGAGACACTTCATTCTGAGTATGTCAGCATTTAGGAGTGATTTTCAAGCTGTTTTCTGTGGACTCTGGGTTCTCTGGAGCTGCCGCTAATTTAAATTTTGTGGAGTCTGAAGCTGGCGTAAGACAATGTCTGTCATCTTTGGACTCAGGTGTAAAGGTTTTGTCTTCAGAATAGCCCCGTTGCTCTCAACAGCTGCCCTGCTAACAAGTCAACTTTTGAACTTATAAATTTGTACTAATAGACCATCACTATGTCTATGTTGCATGTTGGGTTTTTACAGAAGATATAATTTGCAAACAGGCTTTTGTTACTTAAAAGTTTGGAAATCTCAGTGAGCCCCTGGTCTCCTTCTGGGTCATCACTGGCCATCTTTTGGGGGCCCCGAGGGCCGTGTGTGCTCACATGTTTGGCTGTAATGGCCCAAGTCACCACTTCTGAGTGGATCACAAGCCAGTGCTAAATGGTAATGATCTCATGAAACAGGTAAGTCATTGTCATGTCATTTTTCTTTTAAAAGCTCCACACATACTGTTTCTTCCCATGCATCTCAATGTCTGTACGTACGCATGTGTAAACATCATAGTTGACATTGATTATCTGGCTGCCCAGAATAATGATCCCAATGACAATATTACTGATGACAATAGGACGATAGTTAGCATTTATGGGGGCTGAATATGTACCAGGCAGTCTTCTAAGTGCTTTGCATATAATACCCCATTTCATCCTCACACTGCCTCTGAAGTAGGAACTACTGTTGCTTCCATTTCACAGATGAGGAGACTGAAGCATAAAGGGTTAAGTAATGTGCCCGTGTTCACAGAGCTAGTGAGCAGCTGGGCTGGGGTCCAAACCCAGGAGTCTGACCCCAGACCCCACACTCCGCTCAGCTGTGCTTCCTCCCAGGTACCTGGGTTGGTGTGTGATTGAGGCTGGAAGTCCCCAAATATATTCTCAGGCCCACAGACATTTTTTTCCACTAGGGACCTTTCCCTGCAGAGGTTTCTGGTTAACCTTCTGAAGGAGTTAAGTAACAAATATATATTAAACATTTGTGTTTTCACTTTGATGATGAGTTAAGAAGATGACTATAAACATATTCAAGATCATTCTAACCAAACAGCCGTACACAGACGTTTCCATCTAATTTCATATTCACAAATGTTTAAAAGTCACTCACCAACAGCAACAATGGAAGCTCAACACCAGGCTCCACAATATTTTTTTTCCCCCTTTGAAAGGGGTCTGTACACTATTTGAATTTGACTACCTCTCTTCCTGTTGTTCTAGAAACTACATGACCAGCTCTTTCAGAATATACAGCAACTGCCTTCCCCTGAGCAGCGCCAGGCTTAGGAGATTTACGGTAAAGGCCTGTTTCCTAGGAGGTCAGTACGGGAAGCCAGACTCAACGGCAGTTTCTGGGGAGAGCAGCTTTCTGCCCATTGCAGCAGTTTCCTTTTTCTTTGGGAGAAAGAAAAGGCTCAATTGGGATATTTATCAGCCTCTCCTGTTCCTCTGGGGTTTGGTGCAGTTGACAACCGGCAAGGGTAAAATGAGCTGGTCGTCTCGGGACCATGGAAAACGTGGAATCGAGGCTCAAGAATGCCCCTTATTTTCGATGTGAGAAGGGGAACAATTCTGTCCCCATGTGCCAGAAGTGTGAGACGTGTGTCCTGGCCTGGAAGATCTTCTTCACCAAAGAGTGGTTCCGAAGGGTGGGCAAGATGTCCCAGAGGAGGTTTCTGGTCAGCATCCTGCAGCAGCTGGATAGCTTGTATTTGTTACACTATTTTCAAAATATCCTTCAGACCATGCAGGGGAAGGATTTTGTCTACCACAGGTCCCGGGTCAACCTCAGCAAGAAGGAGGGGAAAATCGTCAAGTCCTCCTTGAACCAAATGCTGGACAAGACGGTGGAACAGAAGATGAGGGAGATTTTGTACTGGTTTGGGACCAGCAGCTACTGGACGAAGGCGAATTACACACTCTTGCTGCTGCAGATGTGCGACCCCGAGCTACTGCTCACTGCTGTTGATGTCATCAGAGTCCTGTTTCTGAGAGGGCGGAACGATGCCTCAGGTGAGCGAGGCCACAGGTAGAGACCTAAGGGTCCCCAGAGACCAGGAGGCCAGACTTCAGGAGCCCATCAAGGAACAGGAGGTGTGGACAAGCTTAGGTAGACGGGGATCTTCCAGATTGCAGAACAGAGCGCTTTGTCCTGACACCCGATCCTGTTGACCGAAGGAGAAGCTGCTGAATGTGACTTCCTTCTAGAAAATTATAAAAGGACAAGTGCAGAAGGAACTTTCAACTGTCAGGCGTTTCAAAGGGATTTCTGCCTCCCTTAGGCCCAGAAGTGGCTGCTTAATGCTGGGGTGGTTCCTGCTTTAGTGGGTTAGGGATTGAAGCGGGTTTGAGAAGGAGGTAAGGGGGGTGCTACTGAGTTGTGTTGCCCTTCAGTTTGCTGCTTAATGCTGGGGTGGTTCCTACTTTAGCGGGTTAGGGATTGAAGCGGGTTTGAGAAGGAGGTAAGGGGGGTGCTACTGAGTTGTGTTGCCCTTCAGTTTGCACTGCACGGAAACTAGGCCAAGAGGTCAAAACCTAGGGCTTTCCTTCATTCATCCCACTGTATTCCTTGCTTGCACATAAAATCCAACCTTGACTTGGAGTTTATCCAAGGCTGGAGGTAGTGGAGGGGCCAGATAAGGCTGGGGTGGGCGTTCTCAATCGTTGCTTGTATCAGAATCACTGGGAGGGCTTATTAAAACCCAGGTGGCCGGGGTCCTCCCCGAAAGGTCCTGACCCAGCAGGTGTGATGTGGGCCACGAGTCTGCATGTCTAACAAGTTCCCAGCGGATGCTGCTGCTGCTGGTCTGGTGACCTCACTTTGAGAGCCGGTGGTCTAGGGTGTCGGTGACAAGGTCTTGGACGTGTTTGGCCAGCTGCACTGGGGCAGCAAAAGCAACCAGAAAGGAGGCAAGGGACTCGGGGTTGCAGGGGGTCCAGTACGAGAAGCAGAGGGTTAGCAGACTGGGACAAGGCTGGGAGAGGGCGTCAGATGGAGGGATTCAGAGGTTGAGCTCTTGAGGGCGGGGAATTCCTGCGGTCCACGAGACCTGGTTTGTGGTCCTGTTTGCAGACTCAGAGAATCCCGGGAAAGTTTAAAGCTACGTGACCTTGGGGGCAGTTAGATCCCGTTATATGCCCTTGATTTCTTTGGTGTGTCCAGGAAGTAAAAGAAGAATCATCTGGAATGAAAAGTGGTGGAGAAAATCAGAGGATCCCATAAGTTAGATTAGAGATTGATCAGTCCAGCTCCTTCATTGTATAGGTAAGGAAGTCGAATCGAAGTTCAGAGAATCTGAGTGATTCGGCCGTGGTCACCCAGTCGGGCGGTTGAAAACCAGGCCCCCCGTCCTGATCGTCTCCCATGGGCAATGCTGGCCCCCGGACAGGGGCGGCAGGCTCGAGTAGCCTCATCTGTACACACAGGTCCTCACCCACCGCAGGAATCAGCTCCTTGTATTAAAAGTTGTGTAAGTCCAGTTACAGGTTGTGGCAACCTTCCCCTTTTCCTAGGGGAGCCTCTCTCTTAAAAATTAAAATTTCTAGGACTTCCCTGGTCATCCAGTGGTTAAGACTCTGTGCTTCTCCTGCGGGGGGCATGGGTTCGATCCCTGCTGGGGGAAGTTCTGCATGCTGCCAAAAAGAAAGAAAAAAAAATTAAAATTTCCTAATTTGACTCAAGGGCATTTATTCATATCATTGAAGAACACGACGCAAAAGCTTCAGAAAAGCAGTCCCTCTTCCCTCCTCACTCCGACGCAAAAGCTTCAGAAAAGCAGTCCCTCTTCCAGCTCCTCACTCTCTCTCTTCCTCTTTCCCTCTCTCTCTCCCTCTCATTCTCTCTCTGTCCTCGTGTATATAGAGCGCTGATGAAGTTTGCAGTGCAGGTGGGCTGGCAAAGGCCAACAGAGGCTCTCTGTGATTTTTACGTAGAAACTCAGAGGCCCCAAATAAAAACAGACATAACTGGCCTGGTCCGTTTTGTGTCGATTCAAAAGAAGCCAGTAGAAATAAAACCATCTCTCTCTACCACTTCCTCTCCACACACCTGTACTAAAGAGCCTCTCATCTTGGCCTTTTGTTTTTCAGGGAACGACCCAGACTCCAAGGATGTGTTTTTCGTCCCTGGGAAAGGCCACACACCCCTGTGCGAGACCTCACAAGTCTGCTGGGCAGCCAGACCCGGGCACACATCCTTCCCGTTGTCCAAAACTACAGGAAAAGCAGGCTTGCACGAAAATGTGTCGTGGGGAGCAGCCACTACTGGTAAGTCCGCTGGTAGGAAGAAAGCCGATGGGGAGGGAGTCCCGTGGTGATGGAGGGGCTGGTAGGGCAGCCATAATTGGGCAGGACAGAGTTGGGCAACTAACATTCACTTGTCACCTACAAAGTGGGTTGGGCTCTGTGATATTTATTCCCTCATTTAATCCCACATCTGGTAAGGGGAGAAACAAGGATTAAAATCAGTCATTTTGGGACTTCCCTGGCAGTCCAGCGGTTAAGGCTCTGCGCTTCGCCTGCAGGGGGTGTGGGTTCGATCCCTGGTCGGGGAGCTAAGATCCCACATGCTGTGGGGCGTGGCCAAAAGATAAAATAAAATCAGTCAGTGTGACCTTAAGTCCCCTTTTGCCCCAGGCCGGAATCTCTCGGTCTAGCCCCTGACCTCTGGTGTGGGGAGATATGGGGAGGGGCACCTCCAGAATCCAACCCACCAGGAGCTATTTTTGCAGCATTGGATTCAGTCTTGAGGTGGAAACAAAAGCAGTGGGGAATTGGGCCCTGACCTTAGGGCCGACCTCACTTGGGATTTGAAGCAAGACATATATACGGAAAAATTACGGGAAACACAAAACATAGATTCAGAAACGCTTTTTATACAGAAATTTTCAAGTTTCAGAAGTAGGTAGAACAGTGTAATCATTGCCCACATAACCGTCATCCAGCCTCAATAATTATCACCGTCTTACCAATCTTATTTCCTCCAACCCCGTCTTTTGAAATTGAGACTTTTTCTTGTTGGGCTCATTTAGAGGAAACTCCAGACACCATGCCATTTCACCAGCAGGGCAGTTTTGATGCCACAGACATCGACTTGAGCTGGGAACGTTGAAAACTGCTGGTGCGTTTGGTTGGGGAAGCTCTGTTTTCATTTTGGTGGAAGAAATGACCAAACCCTGGTGGCCTCAGGGTAGACCCTGGTGAGCTCTGTTTTGGGGGACAGCTTTTGGCAAGGACTTGCTCTCGGCCCGGAGTCACCCCAAAGACGCCCCAACCGTGCCCCCTTCTCCGGCTTTCCTCTAGAAGGACAGTGGAAGAGTTCACTCCAGTATATTTCCAAGATGAATAGTCTGTCTTCTGAAAAAGCAAGCGTGTCCAAAGCAGGCTCGGCCCCCGTCGCCGATGTGCTGGTGGATCTGGAGGCCGTCAGAGAGCTGTCTTCTGGGGTCAGCAGATACCGCGACTTCATCCGTCACCTGCCGGTCCATCTCTCCAAGTATATCCTCAGTACGCGGGGCCTGTTGGGGGATTTCTGAAGACCCGCCCCCCCCCCCCGCCCCACCTGCCACCATCGCAGCGCAGTTAGGAGGTCCCCAGGTCCACCTCTTGTTTTCCAGGTATGCTGGATAAGAACAGCCTGAACAGGTGTGTGTTCGTGAGCCAGCACTGGGCAGTGCTGGCGCAGCAGGTCAGGACCGACCTGTCCATGCACTCTTTCATCCGGCACCAGATCACCTTACTGCAGGTACTTTCTTTGGGAGGGGACAGCTGTAGCCCAGCCTCATGTCTGCACCAGCCTTTCCGTCTGCGGTAGACCCTGAGCTGGCCTCCTGCTGCTTCCTCAACTGCCTTTTTGTCCGGACTCCCGATATCCCCATTTACTCTCCCCTTGTTGGTGCATCTAGCAGGGATGACACGTATAGAAACCTCTTGGGAAGACAGAGGCAGAGCCTTTCCGGAGCCTCACAGAGCAGGGAACTTTCCCCGGGGAGCCATATTGCAGCTTGTGCAATATAAGAAAGCCTCATGTACACAGATGTTTACAGAGCCACAGAGTATTTTTTTAGGTTAAAATGCAGTTTTCCCTGGATAGTAACCATCTCTGGCATTCATACTTCTGTTTCTTGCCAGAAGCCTGACCCTAAATCATGGGTTCCTGGTAGCTTGGATTTTTCCCAGCAGAGGGAGAGGAGGCCTTGAGCCAGGGGACATGCTGGAAGCTGGGAACCGCCCACCATCCTCGCTGGTCCCTCTCGGGATGTTTGGTGGGCGTTACCCTCCTTCAGCCAGTCTACACGCACCACTGGCCTAGCTGGCCAGACCCAGGCCTTCCTTGCCCAGAACTAACCCATCTTTCAGATCTTGCCAAACACTAGTTTTTCGCCTCCTCTTGGAGTGTAAGAACTAAGAGTAGCCATTTTCGGTTCTTTTACCCCAGGGGTCCTACACCAGGGGAATAGACCCTAATTACGCCAACAAGGTTACTATCCCCGTTCCTAAGATGGCAGATGACGGGAAGCACCTATGCGTGAAAAATCCGAAATGGAAACTGAGAACGAAGGTGGGTTCCGATGGCACCTGGGGCAAGTGACTGTGGGCGTCGTTTCCTACTGGCCATTGAAGGCTGAAGTCCAGACTCAGCCCTCACATACGGATGTCGGATATGGGAGGGTGTAGGTTAGAGCATATGGATGTAGGGTATGGGAGGCAACATTCCCTAAGGGAGACCACAGTTGGGTGCTGTGTGTCCTTAAGGAAGTGACTTTCTCTCCTTAAGCCTTAACTACCTCTTCTGTTAAATGAGGGGGCTGACTTGGTTGTCTTCTCAGGGTTCTTCCTGACTGCAGCTCCCATGTCAGGCCCTGTGTCCATGGCATCTGCCATCTAGCGGGGAGCTCAGAGCCAGGAGCGGTGTCAGGATCGCTGGGGTTTTCCTCACCACCTCTGTCCCTGCATGGAGAGGCCGCAGGGGGGGGGTCTGTCGCTCGGGATTGAGGACATGAGGGCAGGGCTAGGGCCGTCCCCAAATGTCCAGGGTCCAGAGTGAATTAAGCTTTCCGACCGCTCGCTTCCAGGTTCATTCTGGTTCTAGGACGGAAGGAGAGCGTTACTTAGCCTCAGACCTCTCTACAAAACCTCGGGCAGTAAAAAAAAAAGTATCGTGTCTCAGATGGAAGACTCTGAGCACTGGGTTCTGCCCATTCAGCCGTGGTGGTCATTCCCCAGACCAGTGGACTCCTGTCCCCTCCTCTCTGCTCAAGGGCCTTCTATTTTGAAATCTATTCAATGGGCCCCAAAAGGATACTTAACAAGGGTGGTCAGACTGTAGCGTTCCATAGGAAGACTGTGCAGTTTCAGTTAGAAGTTGAGAAAGAGAAGGGTCCAGTTCTTACGTCTGTAGAGGCCGTTCTGGTCACACAAAGGAGGGAGGGGGGCGGGGAGGGCAGCAGGATGATGGGACCGTGGTGACTCTGGGGGGCCAGTCACTACTCAGGTCCAGCTGAGCATTGCCACGGGAGACTGTGCACCCCGGCTTCCCAGGCTGCCTGAGCTTTCAAGGGAAGTGAGAAATCTGAGTTATCACAGGACAGCTACTGCTTTTCTTTAATGCTGGCAACCAATTAAAAGCATTAGAAAAAACCCCCAAAACTACATGGGCCAAAGAAAGCACGTTTGTGGACCTGCAATTTTTGAAATCTTTGAGTCGGCCCCTCCGCTCATTTTATAGATGAAGAAACAGAGTGTCAGGCCTCCACTAGAGGGCAAGAGACGTAAGTTCAAGGCTGACCCGCTCTTTCCAAGCCCGTCGCTCTGTTAAGTGTAACACAGCCAACACCCTTCTTCCATAGGTGAGGTAGCTAGTAACTGCCAGACAAACAAGGGCGAACCGGGCAGTGTTTGATGCTTAGAAATGTATAATTAATTTAAGAAAAGAAGGAGAAACAGGTAAAGGTATGGAGACCGGTAGGGAAGCAGTGGGACTGAGCAGTGAGGGGGCTGCTGGGAAGAGGCAGAGGCGAGTGATGAGTGCTTCCGGGGCTGGTGGCTACAGCGGGTACTGCCTGTGCCTGATTTCCGTGATCTACTTGATCTACTTGATCCTCACAATGGGTCGGGTGGGCAGCGTTGCTCCCAGTGTGTGGGTGTGGAAATGAGGCTGTGCTGTTAGAAAACTTACCCAAGGTCTCCTGGCTGGGCATGGCAGAGCTGGGATTCGAAGCCAGATCTTTTTCACCCCATCGACTCCACCGAGTAGCCTCCAGGCTCTCAAAGCTCAATGGGTAGGCGAGAGCCAAGGAATTCCAGCCTGGGCTGTGAGAAGCCAGGGAAGCCTCGTTTAATTCAAGGCAGGTTATCAGAGCTGCCTGAACACGCGAGGGGAAGCAGGCTGATGGATTCTTCTGGGGAGAGACTTCTATGTGGACATCAGGACCTGGTGAAAGATCGAGAAGGAGGATGGGCTGAGGAAGAGTGGATGGGCATGGAAGAGAAGGCTGAGGTTGGGAAGGAAGACAGGTCCCCAGACGCAGACGTCGTGCTGTGGTCCTCTTTGCTTTCATCATAAACTCACCTGGCCTTATTGGTTTCCTGTTAGCGTGATTGCTATTTCCTGCTTTTTGAGGTTGAAGAAAATGAGGCTGGGAAGAAGACTGGAACTGGAATTCCAGTTGAGTCATCTATACCAGAATTTAGCATCCCTGGATGGCCATAGCTACTCAGAAAGTGTGTGATGAAGGGAGGGAGTGGGGAGGAAGGAAGGAAGGAGGGAAGGAAGGGAGGAAGGAAGCAAGGAGGGAAGGAAGGGAGGAGGGAAGGAAGGGAGGAAGGAAGGAAGGAGGGAAGGATGCAGGGAAGGAAGGAAGGGAGGGAGAGAAGGAGGGGGGAAGGAAGGGAGGGAGGAAGGAAGGAAGGAAAGAAGGAAGGGAGGGAAGGATGGAGGAAGGAAGGGAGGGAAGGATGGAAGGAGGGAAGGAAGGAAGGAGGAAGGAATGTTGGAAAGGGACGGGGAACATCCCTGTTGAGTCTTGATAAAATTGATTTCCCCTCTCTGAGGCTCAGATGCATCATCTGTAAAATGGTGGGAATACTTGGTGGGGCAAGTGATGTACTTTGTGAGGCAGCTGTAAGGAGAAATGAAGGTTGCAGATGTATGAAAACTTTGACACACAAGTGCGTAGAGCGTGCAACAGGAATTTCACATGTGACTTGAGTTCCCACGAGTACGCTCTGTACTGTCTCGTGCACACACAGCAGGAACTCAAAACCCCGGCATCTGTGAAATGGGCACCGGTGACTTTATTTTGTGTGCATCCTGGTCGTGAGCTCATTTTTGGAAAAGTTGTGCTATCAGCAGCATTGGAAGTCCACAGGATCAGAGGTAGAAGAAGGACCAGGACCTTCAACTCAGGGGTTCCTTTTGCTCACGGGTCCCTCCCCATCACCACATAGCAGTGGCCACGGCCTGAAGAGGAGGAGCTCTTGGGCCCTTGTACCCTCGCCAGGGGAGAGTCTCAGGGATGCGTGTCTGGGGGGTCAGGTTGCTGCCGTCCTTTGACTGTAAGTGTTCCCTTGTTAGAATGACTACGACCTGTGGACTGCATACCAGAACCAGGAAACTCAGCAGGTGCAGACAGAGGAGAGGAATGTCTTCTGTGGCACTTACAACATCCGCATTCTCTCTGACGTGTAGGTACTGTGGTCAGAGGCCAGGTCTCCAGGGATCCCTGAACTATCCACACGGGCATCTGAGGACTCCCATACCTTTGCTCACTTGGAAAGGCAGTATTTCCTCACCTCAAGCCCCAGCCTCAAACCCACATGAGATCCCATTTGGAGAATAGGTGCTTGATTTTTGCACCATTCTTGGCATTGGGTGGAGGTTGCTCTCCCCTTATACATTTTCTATACACTGACCAGCAAGCTTTTGCACAATTCACAGGCATGAAATCTTTTTTTTTTTTTTTTTTTTTTTTTTTTTTATTTCAAGGAACCTTGCTGGGCATGGACACATATAGTTAGCAAGTGTCTGAATGTCTGAAGGTCATGGGCCAGAACAACATTCCAAGTTTGGGATGAAAGAAGGCCCAGAATACAAGGTTTAGTTTTGTTTTTTTTTTTTTCTTGCGTTATGCGGGCCTCTCACTGTTGTGGCCTCTCCCATTTGCGGAGCACAGGCTCCGGACGCGCAGGCTCAGCGGCCATGGCTCACGGGCCCAGCCGCTCCGCGGCATGTGGGATCTTCCCGAAACGGGGCACGAACCCGCGTCTCCTGCATCGGCAGGCGGACTCTCAAGCACTGCGCCACCAGGGAAGCCCGGCATGAAATCTTTAAAAAAAATATCTTTACTGTTTAATTCTTATTTTAGGAGTAATATATCCTTACTGGAAAAAAAAAAAATCCATGAAATGCCAGGAAATGTATAGAGGAAAGGAAAGCTCTCCTACAATCTTGTCACGTAGAGATAACTACCATCAATATTGATGTCTACCCTAGAATTTTTTCTTTGCCTCTATGAATACATATTTTAAATAGAAAGGGGGCTATGCTATATATAGTTCTGTAACCCACTCTGGCAAGGTACTGTGAATGTCTTTCCATGTTAAACATGAAAATGGTATTTATGATAACTACCTAGTGTGGCATCGTTTGAATATGCCGTAAGAAGACCCTTTAATAGGCAACTTTCTGCCATACTTTAGACCTAGGACTTCACTCTTTATTCATAAAGTTTTGTGAAGTCCATCATTGTTCTATTTTTGGCTGTGAACCTTACTAACAAATTGCTTCTTGACCAGCCAGTAGGGGGAAGACAGAGCAGATGGGAAAAGGCAGAGCTGAGATTTTATGGATACTATGGTGATACGTGCTCTTTAGAAGAGAAGATGACTGGTTGAACTCTAGATAGGACAAATGGAATGAGGACAAAAACGTCAGGAATTGCCCCTCATATTTAGAGTGACTTTATATCCCTGTTTACTGAAACAATTCGATTTTACTCTGTGGTCCTCAAATAATTAACAATAGTGTCCCCTTTCACAATAAAAAAACTCAGTTTGGACGATAAATTATTTGGTCATCCTGCTCATATTTTATCTATTTGCTAATAACCTTATGATTGGAAAATTAATTCAACTCACCCTGTTTTGTTGGACTGTAAGCCCATTGAGGGCAAGGTCCATTCATATCTTATTCATCTATCTTTGTATTTCCCATTAGCACCTATTATCACAGGACTTTGCCCCTAATATACGCTCACTGGATATTGGTTAAGGGAAACAAGAAAAACAGCAAAAAACCAACAGTGGGACATGCAGTGGGTATAGGGCTTCCCAAGTGTGTTCCTCTGAGGTTTTCCATGAAAAAAGGTTTCCATGGTCAAATAAGGTGGGAAATGCTGCATACTCTGTTCTGTGTCTTGATGATTTATCATACATTAGCAGAAATTATTAAAAGAGTTTTGCCTTTTGTGTTTAGGTTTTAAATCTGTCTGAAATGGATTTTTGTTATGGTGTGAGGTGGGGATCCATCAGGGACCATTAACATTAGGCCTTGCCTTCTGCTATATCCCTTGTTGGAAGGCCCTGTATTTTCCATTATAGTATTGCTGCAGGTCAAAGGCACTGTGCTAAGTGAGTTCTAGGAAGGACACTAACTCTTCTTTCCATGGATCATCCTTTTTCTGGCAACTCAGGTGGGACCGAAACAGAGTCATCCACTATTCTGGGGGAGATTTGTTAGCTGTGTCATCCAATCGGAAGATCCAGCTTCTGGACATCATACAGATAAAGCAGATACCCATCAAGTTCCGAGGCCACACTGGGAGTGTCCGTACCCTCTTCTTGTGTGAGGAGGAAAACTTTCTCCTGAGCGGGAGTTATGACCTGAGTATCAGGTAAGTGGTCCAAGAAAGCTGTGGTCCCCACCCTGCCGAGGCCTAAATGCAGCTTGTGGAAAGAGCATGCATGCTTTTACCTTTTTGTATTTATGCAAAAGTTATCCTAAATTACACTGACTTTTAGAATAACCCACTTTTTTTTTGGCAAGATAAAAACCAAAAATTTGTATATTGTTTAAACTTTGGGTGAGATAGATGTATAGCAATTATCAGGTCTATTTTCTAGCTGAAGGCTGTGACTCAAAAAGTATTTTCTTTAGCATTATTAGGTGAAGGCATAATTTATATATATTTTTACAGATTTCTTCAGGGGAAAGTAGTTTTTTGTGGTTATGGAAACAAAATATATATATATGTATGTATATTTTTAAACAATATAATGAACACCCATGTGCTCATTACTCAGGCCAGGAAATAGGGTGTTTACCGTTCCCTAAATCCCCTATGTGCCTTTCTCTTATTCCTTCTTTCTTCCTCCCAACCAGAGGTAATGTTATCCTAAATTTTATACTAATTATTCCCTTGTATTTCTTTGTAGTTTTGCTACCTATTTATATATATGCCGATATATTAATTACTTTTGTCCATTCTTGAACTTAACATAAATGGAATTGTATCTTAAAAGTTCATCTGTACTTGATTCTTGCACTGAACTGTGACTTTGAGATTCATTTGTAGGATGTAGGTAGCAGTAATTAATTTATTTTCACTGAGATACAGTATTTCATTAGATGAATACATCATAGCTCATTTATGTACTCTTCTGTTGGTGGATATTTGCATTGTTTATAGTTCTTTATTCTTTCAAAGAGAACTGCCGTGGACATTCCTGGATGTGTCTCCTGGTACCCATGTGCATGAGTTTTTAAATTTTTTATTGAGGTATAATTGACATAAAGTGTTAGTTTTAGGTGTATGATATAATGGTTTGATATATGCATATATTGCAAAATGATTAGCACAGTGAATTTAGTTCTATCCATCACTACACATAGTGACAGTTTTTTTTCTTGTGATGAGAACTTTCAAGATCTACTCTCTCAGCAACTTTCAAACATACAATACAGTATTGGTGGCTTGTTTTTCTGTTTTTGCATCAAAACCGCCTTTTTAAAAAAGATAGTTTTTATAGAGCAGTTTTAGATTCACAGCAAAATTGAGAGGAAGGTACAAAGGTTTCCCATATACCCTTTGCCCCATTCTCAAGATACCCCTTCAGAGTAGTACATTTGTTACATTTGATGAACCTGCATCGACACACCATAATCACCTAAAGTCCATAATATACCTTAGGGTTCATGCTTGGTGGTGTACATTCTATGAATTGGGACAAATATATAGTGTCATGTATTCATCATTATAGTATCATACAGAGTATTTTCATTGCCCTAAAAATTCTCTATGCTCTGCCTATTCATGCTTCCCCCTAACCCCTGACAACCATAGATCTTTTTACTGGCTCCATAATTTTCCCTTTTCCAAAATGTCATATAGTTGGAATTATACAATACGTAGCTTTTTCAGATTGGCTTCTTTCACTTAGTCATATGCATTTAAGGCTCCTCTGGGTCCTTTCATAGCTTGATAGCTCATTTCTTCCTTATGCTTAATAATATTCCACTTTCTGGATGGACCACAGTTTACTTATTTATTCATCTACTGAGGGACATCTTGGTTGCTTCTAAGTTTTGGCTGCTATGAGTAAAGCTGCTATAAATATCCATTTACAAGTTTTTTCTGTGGACATAAGTTTTCAGATTCTTAGGGTAAATATCAAGGAGAACAATTGCTGGATCACACAGTAAAGTATGTTTAATTTTGTAAGAAATCTCCAACTGTCTTCCAACGTGGCTGCATCATTTTGCATTTCTACCAACAATCAATGAGAGTTCCTGTTCCTTCACATCCTCACCAGCATTTGGTGGTGTCAGTGTGCTGGATTTTGGCCATTCAGATAGGTGTGTAGTGGTGTCTTGTTATTTTTTTTGCATTTCCCTGATGACCTGAGATGTGGAGTATCTTTTGGGGATGTCTTCTTTGGTGAGATGTCCGTTAAGATCTTTGGCCCATTAAAAAAAATTGAAGTATATTTGATTTACAGTATTGTGTTAGTTTCAGGTGTACGGTAAAGCTGAAATACATACATATATATATTTCAGATTATTTTCCATTATAGGTTATTACAAGATATTGAATATAATTCCCTGTGCTATACAGTAAATCCTTGTTGTGTATATATTTTATGTATAGTACTTTGAATCTGTTAGCCCCATACTCCTAATTTATCCCTCCCACCCTCCCTTTTCCCTTCGGTAACCATAAGTTTGTTTTCTATGTCTGTGTGTCTGTTTCTGTTTTGTATATAGATTCATTTTTATTATTTCTTAGATTCCACATGTAAGTGATATCATATAATATTTGTCTTTCTCCATCTGACTTACTTCACTAAGTATATTCTCTAGGTCCATCCATGTTGCTGCAAATGGCAATATTTTGTTCTTTCTCATGGCTGGGTAATAGTCCATTGAATATATATATATATACCACATCATCTTAAGCCAGTTGTCTGTTGATGGGCACTTAGGTTGTTTCCATGACTTGGCAGTTGTACAAATAGTGTTGCTATGAACATTGGGGTGCATGTATCTTTTCGAATTAGAGTTTTCAGTTTTTCCAAATATATGCCCAGGAGCGGGATTGTTGGATCATATGGTAGCTCTATTTTTAGCTTTTTTAAAGGAACTTCCATACTGTTTTCCACAGTGGCTGCACTGTGGAAAAGTGCAGTGTAGGCAGGTTCCCTGTCCTGCACACCCTCTCCAGCATTTATTACTTGTAGACTTTTTGATGATGGCCATTCTGACTGGTGTGAGGTGATACCTAATTGCGGTTTTGATTTGCATTTCTCTAATAACTAGCGATGTTGAGCATCTTTTCATGTGCCTGTTGGCCATTTGTATGTCTTCTTTGGAGAAATGTCTATTTATCTCTTCTGCCCAGTTTTTGTTTTGGTTGTTTGTTTTCTTTTTGTTGAGTTCTGAGAGTTCTTTGTGTATTTTGGATAATAGTCCTTTATCACATGTGTCTTTTGCAAATATTTTCTTCCAGTCTGTGCCTTGTCTTCTAATTTTCTTGACATTATCTTTTGCAGAGTCGCTATTTTAAATTTTAATGGAGTCCAGTCTGTCAATTCTTTCTTTCATGGGTCACGCCTTTGGTGTTGTATCTAAAAGTCATTGCCATACCCAAGGTCGTAGTTTTCTTCTATGTTATCATCTAAGAATATTATAGTTTTGTGTTTTATGTTTAAGTCCGTGATCCATTTTGAGTTAAATTTTGTGAAGGATGTAAGGTCTGTGGCTAAATTCTTTTTTTTTCTTTTCTTTTTTTTTGCATGTGGACGTCCAGTTGTTCCAGAACCATTTGTTGGATAGACTCTCTTTGCTCCACTGTATTACCTTTGCAATCAGTTGACTGTACTTACATGGGTCTGTTTCTGGGTTCTCTGTTCTGTTCCATTGATCTATTTGTCTGTTCTTTCACCAATACCACAGTGTCTTAAGTACTATAGCTTTGTAGTGAGAATGAGTGAGAATGAGTGAGAATGAGTTTTCAATATCCGCAAAATAACTTGGTAGGATTCTGATTGGGACTACCCTGTTTTGTTTTGTTTTAAAGATTTTTTTAAGTTGTTGTTGTTGTTGTTGATGTTTTCATATGTGATGGTGGGGCAAGTTTTACATTTCACTTTCCTTTTTTTATATAACTTAGCTATGGTATATATTTTTTGAGTTTTTAGGGTAAGTTTACCGACTTGAAAAATCTAACTAGACTTTCAATTGGAGTTGCATTGAATTTATAAACAATTTGGGCAACACATTCATTTCTTTGTTCTTTCTTAGAACTTAAAACTTTTTCTTTATAAAAGTCTTATGTAGTCTTATTGAATACTTGTAAACTTTATAATTTTATTGCTATTTTGAGTGGCATCTTATTTTCATTTATATTTTAAAGTTGGTTATTGATGGTATTGAGAAATGATATTGATTTTTATAGGTGGATCTTGTATCCAGCAACCTTGCTAACCTCTCTTGCTAACCGCAAAGTATGTATGTTGGTTTGGGTTTTCCATGTAGATGATCTTATCAACTGGAAATAATGGCAATATATTATCTTCTTTTCTGAAACTTACGCTTTTTTCTTTTTCTTTCATTCTAACTTTGCCTTGGCCTTGTAGTTAAGCAGTAGCTGTGAAAGCCATCTTTATCTTTTTCCCCTTTTTGAAGGGAGTACATCTGTTTTTTCTCCATTAAGCATAATGTTTGCTGTTATGACTTTCTTTTATAAGTTTGCTAAGGCAAGGAAATCCCTTCCATTCCTATTTTTCTGAAAGTGTTTCTCAAATATCAATACCTTTTCTGCCTAAATTACGAAGACAACCTGGACATGTGGTTGGCCATGTTGCTAGAAACAGAAGTTCAAAACATGCTTTCTGGGACTTCCCTGGTGGCACAGTGGTTAAGAATCTGCCTGCCAATGCAGGGGACATAGGTTCGAGCCCTGGTCCAGGAAGATCGCAAATGCCACAGAGCAACTAAGCCTGTGCGCCACAACTACTGAGCCTGCGTTCTAGAGCCCGCGAGCCACAACTACTGAGCCTGCGTTCTAGAGCCCGCGAGCCACAACTACTGAGCTCATGTGCCACAGCTACTGAAGCCCACACGCGTAGAGCCCGTGCTCCGCAACAAGAGAAGCCACTGCAATGAGAAGCCCGCACACTGCAATGAAGAGTAGTCCCCGCTCGCCGCAACTAGAGAAAGCCTGCGTGCAGCAATGAAGACCCAACGCAGCCAAAAATAAATTTTTAAAAAACATGCTTTTTTTTTCAGACCAGTGGGACATTGTTGAACGCACTATGGGTGCGGAGCAGGCTCTGACGAGCAGGTAAAGCCGTAGGACCTTTAGGAATATTAGAAGGAAAAGCCTAACAAATCTAAAGAAAAACAGAACAAAAGAAAACATTTACTAATCACTTATTATGTGCCAAGTCTCGTAATAACTATGAGGTAAGTACCATTATTATCCCCAATTTACAGATGACGAAACTGAGGTACAGAGTGATTCAGTAACTTATTCGAGATCACACAGCTAGTAAGTGATGGACCTGGGATTGGACCTCAGGCAGCCTGGCTCCAGAGCCCACCATCTTGACATTATATCGATACTTTGTCCTGTCATAAAGGCATTTGGCTGAAGTGGAAGTCAGTATTAATGATAATTGAGAGACCTCAGGCAGGTTTGCATATTAAAAAACAGTGTGACTCTGGGAATTACCTGGCGGTCCAGGGATTAGGACTCTGTGCTTTCACTGCCAAGGGCGCAGGTTCAGTCCCTGGTCAGGGAACTAAGATCCCATAAGTTGTGTGGCCAAAAAACAGCCTAAAACAAACAACCAAAGATCAGTGTGACTCATACACGCTCCCACGTTATCTCTTAGATATGCTTTAGAAATGCACATAAAATATTCTAGTGGCTCGGGTCAATTGTTGTGTTGTTCTTGTTTGAAGGTCAGCTCTACCACTGAATCAGTGCCATGGATTCTGAGCCTGGTGACCATTCTAGGGACACTTCCACCTAATACCAGCTAACAGTTATCAATTATTTTCTACACACTGCTCATTCCTCTAGTGTTACATGCATTATTGCAGAGTTTCTCAACCTCAGAACCATTGACATTTGGGGCTGGAAAATTCTCCCTGTGGCGGGTCATCCTGTGAATTGTAGGATGTTTAGCAGCATCCTTGGATCTTGCATGCTAGATACCAATAGCACCTCCCTACCGACTTGTGACAACGAAAAATGCCTGCAGACATTGTCAAGGGGATGGAAATCACCCCTGGGGGTATAAATCACCCCTGGTTGACAGTCACTACATTAGTGTATTTAATTCTTCACAAAAACCCTGTGAGGTAACTACTATTATTATCATCTCCATTTTATCAATGGGGAAATGAAGCTTACTCAGAAATTAAGTAACCTTCCCAAAGTTAGAGCTAATAGGTCCTGCAACTGGGATTCAGATCCAGGCCTTGGACTCATAAAACTCTGCTGCCTTCCAATTCCCTATTGAACTCTATACCGTCTGATCCCTTGGGCCCTCAGAAAATCTCAAAAACTTTTTTTTTTTTTGGCCTGATTCCTGCAGATACTGGGATCTGAACAGTGGGGCTTGCATACGCATCTTCAGTGGCCACCAGGGGACTATCAGTTGCATGGATGTGTGGAAGAACAAACTGGCATCTGGAGCAAGAGATTGCCAGGTAAAAGGTAAGAAAGAAACACCTCCACCTCCCTAAGAAGTTTCCCCAAATCCATGGGTTGCCAAAGGACTTGTTTTGCTCATTTCTATGGGTGGTCATTATCCTTTCAACCGTCCATGTATCCATTGACCCATTCACTCAACAACTATTGATTGAATGCCAGGTGCTGTGCTAGGCAGTAAGGAAAAAAGCGCTGATGATATGGCCCTTCCCATGTGGCTTTTTATTTCCCCAAGAGTCTCATGGTCTTCTGATGGAGACATACGTAGAAATATGTAATGGGGGATTATAGTAAATATGTGAATGATACCGGTTGCCATTCCTTGAGTACTAACCTTGAGACAGGCACTGTGATAGGTGCTTTGCATACATTATCTTATTTAACTCTCACAAGAATCCTATGGGGTGACTGTAATTTTAAATTACAATCAATTTTTAAAAGAAGAGAAAAAAAAGAGGGAGAGAGAACAAAAGAGAATCCTGTGGGATGGATGCAGATAAGGAGTCCACAACTCAGAAAAACAACTTGCCCCAAATCAAAGCTGCTAAGTAGTCGGGTGGGGATTTGAACCCAGGGCTGACTGGCTCTAAAACGTGTGCTCCAATGAGCTTGTGGGGTACTAAGGGACCGTAGAAATAAGAGTAAAAGGGAAAGCACTGCAGGCAGGGTGCTCTTTGAGTGTGATCTGGAGGAGGAGGAGTTCTACACGCAGAGGGAGAGTCTAGAGCATTCCAAGCGGAAGGAACACCTCAGGCAAATCACAGAATTTTGAAAAAAATGAAGAATTTGGGGAATTTCCCTTTGCTCTGTACAGCTGGGTTGCAGCGTGTGGTGTTGGAGATCAGGCGGATACGTTTGTCTGGGGCCAGATTGTCAAGGGCCTTCTGCGTCGTGGTTGGAAATTGAACTTTATTCTGTAAGACGTGGGGGCCGGTAGATGCGTTTTAAGCTGAGGATTGATATGATGAAATGTGTATTCGAGAAAGATTGCTCTGGTGATATCGTGGAAGGAGGATGTGGAGAGGTGGTGACTCCGGGGGACAGGGGGCAAGTTAAGGTTCTTACTCAGTCTAGAGAACCTGTGATGTCTTCAGAATATCCGAGAACAGGCAAGTGTGAAGACATCAGATGGATGCGAGTTTACACGAGATGGTACAAAGAGAAGGGAGACTTCTAGAAGGAGAACTGGCGGGACTTCAACACTAGCTGGAGATGAAAAGTGAGAGAGGAGGGCAAAGGGTGAGGCCAGACTTTATAACGCAGGCCTCTGGGTATCTGGAAGTACCGCTGATGGAAACGGGGCTTCAGAGGAAGAGTCGGGTGGGAGAGGGAAGGAGGAGGGGGTGAAGGCTTCCATTTTGGACACGTTGAGTGTGGCAGGCAGGAGAACGGCCGACCAGAGATGGTCACGTTCTAATCCCGGACACCGGCGTCTGTGTCATCTTGTGCCTCGCATGGCAAAAGGGACTTTGCAGATGTACTGAATGAAGTTAAGGACCTTAAAATGGGGAGATGCTCCCAGGTTGTTGGTGTGGGCCCATGGGTAATCACGTGGATCCATAAAAACAGACATTTTCTTACCTGTGATCAAAGGGAGTCATGACTATGAAGAGTGGTCAGAGAGATACAGTGTTGCTGGCTTTGGAGATGGACGAAGGGGGTCGTGAGCCACGGAATGTGGGTGACCCGAGAAGGTGGAAAAGGCAAGGAAATGGATTCCTTCCTGCCCACCCCCCAGAGCCTCCATAAACGCACACAGCCCTGCTGACGCCTCAATTTTAGCCTTGCGAAGTCGTGCCGAACGTCTGTAAGATTAGTCCATTTGTTGTTTTCAGACACGAAGCTGGTGGTGATCTGTTACAGCAGCAATAGGAAGTTAACACATTGAGCGTGGGATTACCGCGGACATCCGGGGGAGGGCAGCAGGAGGTGGATGCAGCCCCAGATGGGTCAGCTTGGTGGTTACCAAGTACAGTGAAAGGTGGAAGCCCCGGGTGTGGGTGAGATTTCCTTTGCAGAGCAGGAGGAAAGAG